TCTCTGTAGGCTCTAAAAGAGCTTTGTGGTCTTTTCATTTGCTTGTTTTATCAATTGTTTCTTTGTAACTGCATTGTAGGGCTCTTTATTTTTTTTTTATTGTGTATGTGTGTGTATCTGAGTGGGAGTAAAGTGAATCTAGCGTTCCAGGCAGGTGTGAGCTGCCCTCGGGTTGCAGGACGTGAGGCTCAGTCCTTGGTGGGAGCATCATATGCTTTTACTCACAGAGCCAAACCATAGGTTTTAATTGCAGGACTAATACACTCCCACCACACTCCTGGGGATGGCAAGGTGGCACACAGAATGTCTAGGGACAAAGATCAATGAAGAAACTAAGGCCTTCTTCTCCCTTACAGTTCAGTCACCCAAGTTATTTTCACAGCCAGATAGAGCAAACTTGAATAATGCAGTGAAGGTTATTAGTATAATATTAAGTTTGGTTTGGTTTTGTTATTTTGAGACAGGGTTTCTCCGTGTAGCCCTGGTTGTCCTGAAACTCACTGTGTAGACCAGACTGGCCTTGAACTCGAAGATATCTACCTGTTGGGTGTTGGGATTAAAGGCATGCATCACCATGCCTAGCTTTAATATTAAGTTTTAAAAACAAAAATACTACTCTAGGTATATTTTAATTTCTCAAAATCTAAAAATATTTGTTAGCCATTATAAACGGTACAAACTGTGCAGAATGGATGCTTCTAGATACTTCCAGGAACACAGCCTGAGGAGCATTGCTGATGGTGCCTCTCAACCTCTGCAGCTTGTGACTTGGTTTACGGTGATGATGTCGTGTTAAATGAAAGCCGGTTGCAGGGTGACTTAAAGCGTTTGAACTTTAATCTGGCTGTTATCGGTGAGCCATTCCAATGGTTTAATTCCCTTAGTTCCACAGACTTTATAAATGTAGAGTGTTTGTCTCTTGTCATGAACTCAAAACCATTTCCAGTCACACTCCATTTGCTACCTTTAGAATGGAAGTCTTCTGGGTGAATATTGTTTCATAGACACACAGAATGCAAAGGGATAGAAACAACGAGTTATGGTGAAATCTGCTGGTTCAGTGTCATATCTTTAGGGTTTTTTTAGTAGTCTGACTTAACAGACAGTCTGGTAACTACCATGACTTGTGCATAGTGTCACCCAGGGTGGTGGTACAAGTCATCTACAACTACGGTCACCTGTCTCCAAGTACCAGCAAGGTCCTCTGAAAAAAACACAGGCATAGTTGTTACTTCATGCTTTGCCAAGCACGTTCACTAAAAAGCATTTTGGAGAGCCAGGTGTAATACAGGTGGATATCAAGGCCAGCCTGGTCTACAGAGCAAGCTCCAGCATAGCCAGGGCTACATAGAGAAACTGTCTTGAAAAACAAAACAAAGAAGCAGTTTGGTTCTAGTTTGGTTAGGGAAAGGAAAGAGGCACACCCCACTCCCATCCATCTCATTTGCTGAATTCTGTCCATAGATCCCTCTCCTGACAAGGTTAAAAACCCTTGTTCTAGAATATGTTTTGGAGTTTCATTCTGTTATGTTGAAATCTCTAAGGGGAAAGAAAAATCCAGGAAGCTGGGTATGGTGGCATACCCAGAATCCTAGAAGCAAAGGCAAGTAGATCTTTGTGAATTTGAGGCTATCCTAGTCTATATAGCAAGTTCCAGGCTATCTAGGCCTACATAGTAGGGCACTGTCTCAGCAAACAAACAACTCAGGGAGGTGTAGGGGAATTAAGTGATTTCAGTTTGCACTCTGCTGGGTGGTAAATGATGCCTTTTTTCTTGATTTCAGGTTGCATTCACGGGGACTACTTTTGTGGGCTATGTAGGATTATGGACAGGTCAAAGTCCACACAAGTTTACAGTTTCTGGTGATGAACGAGGTAATTTAAAAATTCCTGAGCATTTTAAAGCAAATCCTTGTTGAGGTCTTCTAAGTGTTTCCTTCACTCTCAACCAACAGATTATGAGAAAGGAAACTTCCAGCCACCTCCACTTCCACTCGTGAGGGAAGGAAGACAGAGAGTAGTCTTGTAAGCATGAGGGTAACCTCAGGTGGTGCCTGGGACTGCAAAGGAAGGACTGAGGGATGACCTGATGGAAGGTGCAGAGGCATTCGGAATAGGTTGTTATTAGGGTCAAGGGTCAGGGGAGCACTGATCCATGTCATCCCAGTCTGGGTCTGCAGAGACAAGAGGAAGATATCTCTGTGGTCTGACAGAGATATATGCATACATACATACTATTGGTATAATTCAGAAATGTAGGTTGTGTAGTTATGGCAATAGCTATTACTATTGGTATAGTCCAGAAATGAAGCACAGTTGGTGTAGTTACAGCAGGGAGTAGGGACATTGGAGGTGTAGAGGAGACCATGGCCATGTGCAAGGCTGTGATGAGCATGGTGAGTGTTTGGATTTTAACCAGAATAGAAGGCATAGGAGGGTTTCATGCCAAAGAGTGAACAGCCCCCCCCACTCTCTCACACACACACACATAGACAGACAGACACACACACTCTCTCACACACACATACACTCTCTCTCACACACACACATACAGACAGACACTCTCACACACACACTCTCTGTCACACACACACATAGACAGACACACTCTCTCACACACACATAGACATACTCTCTCACACAGACACCCCCTCCCCTCTCTCTCTCTCTCTCTCTCTCTCTCTCTCTCTCTCTCCCCACACACACACACACACACACACACACACACACACACACACACACACACGTACATTTGAACCAGTATTATCCTTTTGTATCTCACACATACATTTGAAACAGTAGTCTCCCTTGAATCAGCCTGCCGAATGCTGGGACTGCAGAAGTACTACCATCCTAGCCTGATTTATGTTTTGACCAACTTTGGCTGCTCAGTAGAGACTGGACTCTGCTGGGTTAAGACAGAGTCAGAGGAATGCTAAGGAGCTATTGAATTCATCCAGGTCCATGACCCTGCCCACAGGCAACCTTGTGAACCTCTTGGATTTAACATGCACATGCTCAAACATTTTCTCACTGAAACAGGTAGGGCTATTCCTAGGGACCATACATGATGCAGGGTTGGAAACAGGCTACAAAATGAAATGATAGCTATCAGGTAGAAGAGGCGGTTCCCAAGCTGATCTCCTGGGACCTGAGCCAGCTGTTTGCTGACAACTCCATGTCATTATGCAAACCTCATGATGACATTGTTTAGTTTCATAATATGTGGGAAGTCCAGGAAGATGAGACCTCTTGCCTCTGTGCCCAGGGGCCTGCTGCTAAGGAAGAGCAGAGTGTTCACACACATTCCTCTATAGGCTTATTCACATATATATGAATATATATTATTCATATAGGCTTATTCACATATATATGAATATATATTATTCATATAGTCTTATTCATATATATATACATATATATATGTATATATATATATGGTTGTTTTTTGTTTTGTTTTGTTTTTTGATACGTTTTCCCTGTGATAGGTCTGGCTGTCCTGGAACCCACTATGTAGCAGAGGCTGGCCTCAGTCTCAGAGATCCACTTGCCTCTTCATCCCAAGTGTGGGGATTAAAGGTGTGCACCACTGCCACCTGGCTCAGTATTCAGCTTTTTATATCCATGCATTTATTCAAAAATTTCTCAGTTTTCAATTATGAATGAATCTGAGTCTCAACTAGCATGTCCAAACTACAGCATGACAATGTTAAGAGTGTGTGTGTGTGTGTGTGAGAGAGAGAGAGAGAGAGAGAGAGAGAGAGAGAGAGAGAGAGACATCTACAAATGTATATATTTATTTAAACAGGCTTTAGTTTCATTGTCTTATGAATTAAGATGTTTGTTAAACTAATTATTGGAACGTGAGCAAGTTAAAGTAGCTGAGTTGGTCTGTAACATACAACTTCAATGAAATTCAGTCACATTTAAACTTATTAAAGATACGTCAAAAAGACAAAGTTTGCCACATCCTTCCTAATATTTGTCAAGTAGCCTCCCTTGAAAGGAACAGAATTTAATTTTGCCTGAGATAATTATTGGTAGAGTGATTTTATCCAATATAATCACTATTGAATCAGGTACAAAAGATTCTGTTTGCAAAACCTGAGGGAAGCTGGGCATGATGGCACACGTCTGTATCCCAGCTCTCTGGAGGCTGAGGCAGAGGAGTATCACATTGGAAGTCTGCCTTGGGCTGCATAGGAAGATCCTGTCTCAAAAATAAAGAAAAGAGGAAAAAATGAGGAATCAGTGAATATCTGCATGTTTTTGTTTATTACTATATATATATTACATATAGTAATTAATATATATATATATAGTATTAATATATATATTCACTTGTGTATAGATGTTTTTATGATTGGTTGACTCTCAGACTCAGAGCCAGTGAGATGACTTAGCAGGAAAGGGCACCAGACATCACTTCCGAGGATCTGAGTTTGATCCCCGGGACCCACATAGCAGAAGGAGAGGACTCACTCCTGAAAGTTGTCCTCGGACTCTCAAATACATGCTGTGGCACACACACCTAAACATACAATAAAAGTAAATATGGAATAAATGTAGCAAAAACTTTTTATTTAAGAAATACTGTTTGAATGGTGTTTGGATCTGACCTGCTGCTTCTTTACATATGCAGATAAAGGCTGGTGGTGGGAGAATGTGATCGCTGCGATTTCTCTGGGACACTCCCCAATCAGCTGGCTCATCCGAAAAGTGAGTACAAGTATTGAGTCCATCTCACCCAAGCTCATCTAAACAGAGGGGCCACGCTGCAGGGCTTTGTGTCCTTTAACAGGATTGGTATTTTCCCCCAAGAAGAATAAACAATGCGGTTTTTTCCAGTGCATCCGTCTTTCCATAGTAAACATTAATGATAAAGCTAGGTACTGACTAACAATTACAAGGGCAGATAGTAACATTCTGTTACAATAGAGACAAGAGTCGGGGTGACCTGAGCTCAGCTCTGAGTTGTACAGAGCGGCCTGGGTGCTATAAGGGAAGAATGAGGGAATGAAGAAGGGGTGAAGGGAGACTTAGAAGGGTCAGAGAAGACACACATGAAGTAAATGTAAATTAAATAATAAAAATATCTCATCTTTCCATCAATATGTACAAGGGCCTTATGGCTTATGTGACTTGTGATAGAACCTTTGGGAACACTAGCTTTTGAATTGTCCTTTCATTGACCCCTCTCCTACCCCCATACATCTATGTGCCTAGGTAGGATGGTAACTGTGGAATGTCTTTCTCTCCAAGTGACAATAGTGACTGTGAAGGTGGAGGGGACTGGGGGTCCCTACAGCAAGGTGTTCTCAGCATCTGAATTTAGTGAAAGAGCGCCAATGGCAGTGAGGAGCTGGAGAGGGACCCTCTTCACTGTGCGCAGCTCAGACCTTTGCGTGTCTCCACAGACTTGGCCTGGCTCCTCGTCCTAATGCCGCATGCCATCTCTCTGTCCCAAGCCTTTGTCAGTTGAGTCCATTGACCTGGAACTCAGTCCCACATCCACTCCGAACCCTGAAGCCACCATCACAGTGACTCCTGCCTGTCTCTTGGTACCTGAACTCTTGTACCCTAAGAGAGGATGGGTTCCTTGTTGTGGCTTCCATCATTATTTTACCATGTCACCATTGCTTGGTTATGGCATTGTATTCTTGGAAATTTTTCTGAGAGCAAGAATGAGGTCCTGGCTTCCTCCAGCCCATGGCCTGGTGCAGATCAGTGATCAACAGTGGCTGTGGAGATTACAAATGAATAGGGAGATGTGGTTGGTCAAAACTCATGCCACCAAGACTGGGGGAGCCAACTCTAGGGCTAGCTGACCGTCTGTCCTTTTGCAGTCGGCTCTCTGCCAAAGTTGAGGGGTTTGTCAGTGCTGTTTTGGTTTCTTCTCAGGAACCCCAGTGACTACCGGATAAATCAGGGGTACATGTTATAGCCATAGCTTAGTTTAGTTAGCATCAAGAGGCTGTGCTTTGGAATATGTGTCATGCCCCGTGGGCCTCTCCCTTGGATGACGTTACCAATACTGGTTTGTCTTTTTGTTCAGACCCTGAGTGACTCAGAAAACTTTGAAGCCGCTGTTTACACTCTGGCCAAGACTCCCCTCATTGCTGATGTTTACTACATTGTTGGGGGTACCTCGCCCCGTGAGGGGGTAGTCATCACCCGGAACAGAGGTGGCCCAGCGGACATTTGGCCTCTTGACCCGTTGAATGGAGCGTGAGTAGAACTGCAGTCTCTTCATCAAATCTTTATTTGCTGAAGTAGAAATTATTTTTGCATTTTAATATTTCTTCTAAATGTCCCTGGATAAGGTGAGCTGACACACTCCATTGCAGGTGGTTCCGAGTTGAGACAAATTATGATCATTGGAAGCCTGTACCCAAGAGGGATGACCGAAGGTAGATTCTTTTTGTTCTTGTCTTGTTTTGTTTCATTGAGAAAGGGTCTCACTCTGCAGCCCAGGCTAGCGTGGAACTCACTTTAAAACCAAGGCTAACCACAAATTCAGAGTAATCCTCAGCCTCCCTGGTATGAGATTAGAGGCATGAGCCTCCATACCCAGCCCTGTAGGTAGACTTCCAATATTTCTAATGGTCAGGAGACTGTCCCCTTCCCACAACAGGGACCTACAGGTGACATCTCCTTCCAGAAAATATGGCTGACCCCTCACCAGGGTCTGGAAGGGTAGAGAGTACAGGGTGTGGAGGAGGGCAGTGGGGAGGACCTCTTGGTAGTTAGTTGGTAGAGGCTAGAAGGGTGAGGTTGGCCCTGGCTTCAGGATCAAGGAGCCCTGGATTCCATCATGAACCCTACCAATGAGTCTGTGGAGCCACTAGGCTCTTTGTTCACCTACCTGAAAGTGTAAGGGAAGGGTTGAATAATGGGCTACTGCTGTAAGACTTTATTCGGAAGAAAGTCATTACCCATTAATCAATCAGTCAAACCGGACAGTGATAATGCATGCCTTTAATCCCAGCACTCTGTGATTTTGAGGCCAGCGAGTTCCAGGACAGGCTCCAAAACTACACAGAGAAACCTTGTCTTGAAAAAAAAAAAATCAGTCAATTGCCCTGCTGATATGAGGGCTTGCATTGCCCTTTCTAATGTGGACTCGCCAATCATTTGGTTACAGGGAGTAGCATATCTCACTAATCTCTATTCTCCCACTGGTTTGGCAATAGTTGATTTCTGCAGCAATTGTCCCAATTTCCTTGAGCACATGGGATGGGAGGGGGGGAGTTGTCAAGCTGAATGAATCAGATGACTCAGGAGAGAAGGTTGAGAGCCAGAATCTGTTTGCAGGAGACTGGGCCTTACACTGTGCCTCTGAAAATGGCATCTGATATGGGTCAGAGTTTCCTGAGGCACCTTGTGACCTTTGATCCATTGTCCTTACAGAACACCAGCCATCAAAGCCCTAAATGCCACAGGGCAAGCACACATTAGCCTGGAGGCCCTCTTCCAGGTAACTCCATCTTCATGCTTAGCTTCTCTAGGGTGCTATTGTCCTAAGAGTATGAAAAAACTGCTCTAAAATCAAGAAAAATGTTGCAGTAAAAGTTCTATAAAAGTTGAAAAAAAAAAAAAGTTGAGCCAGGTGTTGGTGGCTCACGCCTTTAATCCCAGCACTCGGGAGGCAGAGGCAGGCGGAACTCTGTGAGTTCAAGGCCAGCTAGTCTCCAGAGCGAGTGCTAGGATAGGCTCCAAAGCTACACAGAGAAACTCTGTCTTGAAAACCAAAAAAAAAAGTTGAAAACATTTTAAAAGTCACTTAATGTTTTCTGAGTTTGGGTCTATATGGTAGTGTAACAGTCTTCATCTAAGCTTCTCTTCATATTAAAAGAAATAAGCATAGTTAGAATATGTGTTTGTTGTTTAAAAGAGAAAGAATGGGAGATGGAGAGATGGCTCAACAGTTAGAGCACTGATTTGCTCTTCCAGAGGACCCAGGTTCAATTCCCAGCACACACATGGTGGCTCACAGCTGTAACTCCAGTTCCATGGAATTTAACACTCTCACAAATACATATACATGCAGGCAAAACACTAATGCACATGAAATAAAAATAAATTAATTTTTAAAAAAGAGAAAGAACAAGGATTTAAAAATCTGTTACAAGGGCTGAAGAGATGGTTTAGCGGTTAAGACCACTGATAGTTCTTCCAGAGGTCCTGAGTTCAATTCCCGGCAACCACATGGTGGCTCACAACCACCTTGAATGACATCTGGTGCTCGCTGCTGGCATGCAGGCGGAAGACTGTATACATAATAAATAAACAAAATCTTTAAAAAAAAAATCTCTAACAAGCACCCTGAGATACATGGAAATGTTAAGTGGTTATTTTTTTTTATAAACTTTTATTTAGTGTGTGTGTGTGTGTGTGTGTGTGTTTGTCATGCCACACCATACACAAGGAGCTCAGAGGACAACTTATGGGAGGACAACTTCTACCATGTGGGTTCCAGGGATTGAGCTCAGGTCATCGGGCTTGGTAGCAGCTTCTTTACCTGCTAAGCCATCGTGCAGGGCGAGTGGTTGTAGTCCCCTTATAGGCACTCCACCTGTGTTTCTTCTACCTTTTAATATTTTCATAATATGATTTTTTTCCTATGCAGGTTTTATCTGTGTTTCCTGTTTATAACAAGTAAGTGGCATGTTCAGCACATCTTCTGGGAAAATGATTTTCCCCTAGGACAAATGTTACTGTGACCAGGTAACCCAAGTTTCAGAGCAAAAGCTCTGGTACTAGCAGCCTTTAAACGCTAGCTTAGTGCCTGTCCTAATATGCCAGTTCAAGAGAAGCATATTGGAGGAATACAGAGAAAGGCGAGTCAATCAGGGTGCTGGGAAGAGGAACAAATAAGGGATCAGTGAGTCTAAGCTAGTCTTCAGGAAGCTGGCAGGTGGGTAAGTTAAACAGAGGAAGAATTGGGGCAAGAGTCTAAAGTAGGTCCTCCTGGTGATGCTGTCCCATTCTGCTCCATTCTGGTTATGCAGGGGCTCTGAAGAAGTCCTCACTCTTAAGGGGACAGGCTGGCTCTCTGGAGATGAGTTCCCTCCAGGTGCAGCCTGGCCATCTTAGATGATTTCCCGGCCTTGTGGGTGGGGGATGGGGTGTCATTCAGGCTGTGCTGTTTCTGGAACCCAAGTTGATGCAGGTTTAGGATAATGCCTGGGGGCGTTTAGATGCATTTGGGGAAACTGGAACAGGACAGTGTAAAAATAGATGGTAAGATGCGTCCGTATATCTTTGTTTTTCTTTCCTTTTTTTTTTTTTTTTTTTTCCAAGACAGGGTTTCTCTGTGGCTTTGGAGGCTGTCCTGAAACTAGACCAGGCTGGTCTTCCACCTGCCTCTGCCTCCCAAGTGCGGGGATTAAAGCATGCACCACCTATGCCCAGCTCTTTCTTTTCTTCTTTCTTTTTTCTTCCTTCCTTCTTTTTTTTCTTTCTGAGACTGAGTTTCTGTGGGTAGCCCTGGCTGTCCTGGAACTCACACTGTAGACCAGGCTGGCCTTGAACTCATAGATCTGCCTGCCTCTGCCTTTCACCATCAGGCAATTGTGTTTCTCTTTTTATGTATTTATTCTTTTGATTTTTAAAAATATTGCTTTACATTATGATTGCTGGTATTATTATTATTCCTCCCCCCTTTAGCCTGTGCTCTTGACAGCTGTAGTCTGTGAGCTAGGGTTTCTCTGACTTGCAGCGTGTGATTTTACTCACACACTCTCCTAAGGGGAGGGTCACAGGAAGCCCCTAGTGTGCTCTGAGGCATGGCTGTGCAGAAGTTGGGGCGGTTCCCTTTCACCATGACAGCAAAGAATAGGCGATGACTCCGTTAGATGAAGCCCCGCACATAGGGTGATGTCACTCACTACCACAGTGTAATGCTTTGAGGAGTCAGCATTTAAAAGTCCAACTTGGCTTTCAATAGTATTTCAAAATAGGAAGAAAAACCACTTAGATCTCTTGCTTTCCATTTTAGACATTCTGCCTCTTTGCCTTCTTATCCCGAATCCCAAAAGATGGGGAAGGGCATCATATGGGAAGGTGAGACACACATAAGAATTGGTCTTGTTCTTTCAGCTGCACAATCTATACCACAGTGATGAGTGCTGCCGAGCCTGACAAGTACATGACTAGGGTGCGGAACCCAAGCTGAAGGTAAGCAGAGGTACAAGTGGGCCCAGGCCGGGCTGTGAAGGATTTGACATTTGTTATTGCTTGCAAGGGAGGGAGTGGCAAGTGCTTCTCACACACCATGGTGACCTTCTAAGACTTAAAGGTACATGATATTTTCAGATAAACATTTAGCATATGATGGCCAATAGGTATTTTTTTAAAGTTTACATGACACTGAGATCTCTCTGCCCATTGCCGCTTAACAAACGCTGCTCTTGAGGCCCAGGGTTACCTTCTCACATACCAAGGGGCAGAGATTTAGGGAGACCCATGTGTCCCCAGAGCAATAGTGAGGCCTAGTGTCTCAGAAGGCAGATCCTGAAGGCAAGTGGCCCTCACAGAGTTTACCTGAAGGTACCAGTGAGCCCACAGGGAAGAGGAAAGACACAGGGGACAAAGGGTCTCCTTGTAGACAGCACCTGCCATCAGGGCCCTAGGCTACTGCTTAGGTCTCCAGATTGGTAAGATGGTTTGGTCAGTGTTTTATCCTGGAAATGAAAAAACATTACATTTTCTTGAATTTTTGTTTGAATTAAATGCATGTATTTTCTTTTCCCTACCAGGTGATGATTGTCCAAGAGTTGCATTTAAAAGACTAAGACGGAGTGAAAGTGCACTGTTTGATGAGTAGTGTGGGCTCCTCCTCATTCAGCTTGTCTGCCTTGTGGGGCATCTCTGGGCTCATGTCTCTCTGGGGGGAGCTGGGGAGTAGCCCATTGTCTTGCATCTTCCCCATTCCTGGTCCTCTTGATCATCCTTAACAAACCACCCTGGCTGGAACAACGCAGATAACCTGTGTCCAAGATCAGGCTCTATCTGGCCGGTCTCAGTTTCTCATAATTCTCTCTTGCTACTTCTGCCTTTCTATTGAAGAAGTGAAGGGGCACAACGATTGTCTTGTGGACAAGCCTGGGATAAGTTTTCTCTAAGTCTGGGCTGCAGCCTATGGCAGAATTTGCCTAGCAAGTGTGAAGCCCTGGCTTCTGTCCACAGCACCACAGAATAAAGAAATACATAAGTCTTCTCTGAAATGTGCAGAACTGTAGTTTGAGTAGAATTTGTTTGAAGGTATGCGTATTTCCGTATAGTGGCACTCACTTTTTATAAAATCCTAACATATTTTTTTAATGTGGACCTTATTTTAAAAAAAAACCAACTACTTTCTTACTACTTTTGAAAATTATATGAAACCAAATAATTTCCTGTCATTGTTTATCATTTGTTAATAAAATGTCAAAAGATGTCAGGGAGAATAAAAACTTGGAAGACATTGAGTGTTGTGTTCTACCTGATTACCCTGAAACCTTATGCTTCTGTTTTTAAATATAATTTATTATTTTATATATTTCCTACTGGGTGTGGGAAAGGGAAGTGAGTATAGATTTCTTTGTAAATATTCATGGGTGGTTTGATACCTATTTAATATACTCAGGTATCTTAGAATGAAAAATGACCTGGGATTAACAATCGTCTCATCTCAGCCTCATCCATGGAAAAGGCAGGAGCACGCATGCACGCACGCACACGTGCACCCCTCCCACACACATACACACACACACACACACACACACACACACACACACACACACACACGCACCCCCACTCCCCATGTGGGTCTTACACGTGCCCCCCCCCCCCACACACACACACACACACACACACACACACACACACACACACACACACACGCACCCCCACTCCCCATGTGGGTCTTGTGGAGCAGCCGGCCTCTGGGGTCACCACTCTGTTTCTGGGTTAAGGAGCTCAGGCATGCTGGGCTGGTTGGGGAATGTACCTCCTAATCCACAAGAGTAAGAGGATCTAGGGCTGGGGTGTATGTGTGTTCCCCACCCTGAGTGACACGTCACACTCTGCAGACTTGCCTCCTGTTCCCAGGCCTCATTTGACCCAGGTTGTTAGCCCAGAGCTTGAAAGTGGATGTTTCGAATGTCACTTGGCACTTGAAATGCACTGCCAGGGTTGTGAGTGTCAACCTGCCCTCTGAGACGACAACACACCAGGCCACGGTGGTGTCACATCTGTTAGACCTGCAGCCAGCTCCATCCACCAACCCTGAATATAAGACGATGACCAGGCATTTGGGTTAAGTGCCTGCCTTGTGCCTCACAGTCATCAAGGCACCAAGAAGGTAAGGGGGAACTTCCTGGCCTGTGGGACAGAAATGCATGAGAACATGAACCCAATAACTGAAGTTAATGTGGGAGGGAAAGGCTTTCACCATGGACAACAGAGACAGAAGCACAGCTCCCATCCATCTCCCACGGTAGCCTCAAGGGTTTTCTGTCCCCTGGGGACCTCCATCCAGGCAAAACCAGGACTGCCGCTTCGTTCAGGGAAGCCAGTATGAAATGGGAGGAGATGAAGTAAAGTGCATTTCTAACAGATATTAAGCACAGGGGTTAAAGGAAAGAGGCACTCAGGGAAGCAATGAGACACACCCAAGCATGGCCATAGCCTTCTGGATGAGAGTCAAACTTAGGTGTGTTTACAATGGGTGTTTATATTGGATCTTTGTGGTTTTCAACTTACACCTCTACTAAGGCTTGATAAGAATAACCACCCACCCCCAAGCAGATACACACACACACACACACAAACACACACACACACACACACACACACACACACACACACACTTATTTCTTAAATACTTTAGATTTATTTAATGTTATGTATAAATGTTTTGCCTACATGTATATATGTGTACCATGTGCATGCCTAGTGCTCATGAATGTCAGAAAAGGGTATTGGTTTCCCTGAAACTGGAGTTATGAATGATTATGAGCTGCCATGTAGGTGCTGAGAATTGAACCCTGGTCCACTGAAAGAGCAACAAGTGCTCTAAACCACTGAGCTGTCTCTCTAGCCCCAACACACACACACACACACACACACACACACACACACACACACACACACACACACTGCTTTTCAATGTTGCCCACAGCATATAGCTTGTAACAAGACTATAAATGAAGCATTTCCCTCAGGGAACAGAGCTGTGAGATGGGTCTGTAAGAAGCATTGGTCAGGGGCTGGAGAGATGGCTCAGTGGTTAAGAGCACTGACTGTTCTTCCAAAGGACTTGGATTCAATTCCCAGCACCCAGATGGCAGCTCACAATTGTCCTGTTACAGGGGATCCAATCCCCTGATAAAGATATTCATGCAGACAAAACACCAATGTACATAAAATAAACAGTTTTAAGAAGCACTGGTCAGGCCTAGGAAAGAGCCGGGTGTGTTCGACCTTCTATGTCCCTTTGTTCTTACATAAGCAGTTTATTTACCCTTGACCTGGGTAGGAATTCACATATCATTCCAGCCCTAAGTGAGCACAGCTTGTTTGTTGTCTCACCTTTGTGTGAGATGTCTGTGGACAGCAGGGACCTGCCTCACCAGGCAACTGTGACTTCACCAAAGATGCTCGAGGCTTCCTGAAGTCAGCAAGTTTTTTTTCTTTTTTTTTTTTTTTTTTTTTTTTGTCGCCTGCCTTTGCTTCCCTTTCCACGTCACTGTCATTTTCTCTGTCTTTCTCTCCTGCTTCAGTTCTGTTTGGAAATGAAGGTCATTTAGAAAACCTCTCTTACATCATCAGCTCATGGGGATCTGGCGGGCTACCCTTGGGTTTTCTGGATTTCGGGTGCTGACAACCAACTTTTCTTCCACCTATTAGGCTCAGTTAGTGAGCAGAGAAACACCTATATTAGAAAATGATAAGGCCTGGCTGACTCGACTGGTTAAGTCAATTTCTAGAGAGGCAGGGACACTCCCTCACTGAGCGGCATAGTGTGGAAGTCACAATGACCTTGGGTGTGTCAGCTGCCAGAGGGAGCCAACCAGTTCAGTTTCGTGAAGCTTGTTCAACCTCAGTTTTCCAGGACGGGGGC